TGGATTGTTATTACTTATTAGTTGAAAGCGGATCTTTAGGTTTTTACATATTTTTATTGGCTTTATGCAGATTTATGAGAATGAAAAATGTGGATGATTTATCCATGATAGAGTTTGTAGGAAAACATTTATTTTGCATATTTTAGCATATTTTGGACATTAGAAAATATTTAGCCTATTTTTCATATTTTTGAATATATTCAATTGTTATTAAAAAAAAAGCATATTTTATTAATTTATCGAGTTGTGATTTTACTGGAGAAAAAAAAACTTGATTGTTATATTCATATTCCTATGTATGAAACTATTATCCATTTTTTCCATTTAAATAATTTATTTTTTACCATGGAATGGTGCATACAAGTTGTTCATTGTTTTATTTAACTATTTTGATTTTTATATATAATTTTACTATATTTATATATTTCTACGTTTGAACTGTTTAAAGTTTTTGTATTTAAATAATTTACCTGTTACCAAAGGAATGACCCATAAAAGTAATTTTATGTTTTTATTGAACTATTTAAGAAACAAAATTATCGCATATTTACAAGTTTAAGGAATGTTAAGAGATTATTTTAGGGGTTTTTTTAGAGCTTATTAGCATCATACTTGAAGCTTTTAAGAACGTAAAAATCCGCTCTTTACTTTTTAGTAAAGACCGGATTTAATATATATTTCAACTTTTTATGGATACCAGGTAAATCAAATCTGATCAAATATGTGTACGAATCGGATTAATTACAGTTTTCCAATTAAATTTAATAATGTAATTTTTTGCAATTTTCAACGTTTTTGCAATTACTGCAATTTTTGTATACTTCACGTGATAAAATATACAAATTATTATTTCTGAAGTAATTTTAAAATAAAAATATAATTACAACGTAAATTTTTACATGTCATTGATGTAGTTTAGCATTTTTAAAATTATATTTATCAGAGTTATCCACAAAACTCACAAGTTTAGAAGAATCAAATAATTAATTACTTAATAGTTTGAACATAATTAGTGAAATTCAAAATATTTCGATGAATATTCCATATCCCAATGGGAAAATAGTTAAAGATAAATTAAAATATGTCTTAGAAAAAAATGAAGGATATAAAACTATTAAAACTTACTCTGAGGTTATGCAGGAAATCAAAATGGTAACTTAGATATAACACCAACATTTTTAAACATGTATCGATAACAAGTGTAGACGTTGAACGTACTTTTTCATTATGTAAACATGTTTTAAGTAACAGACGATACAATTTTCAAGAACACGATTTAGAGATGTATATAATTATAAATTTTCATTCAGAAAAATTATATATTTTGTAAATATTATATTAATGTCTATAATATTATTTAAGTAAATAATTAATGAATATATTTGATATGATTTTTCTATGTAATTTTAATGTATTTCTCATTAAAATTTTAACATATTTAGACTGCAATTTTGATAAATTTTCATTGTGATTTTGGCATCTTTTTAGTGCAATTTTAAGATATTTTTAATGCAATTATATCCAGTCTTTACTTATTAGTAATAGATAATCATAAACATCACCGTCGCTCGTTGATTGTCACTATTGGAAAAACATTGATAATAATAAATAATAACTATTTATTGAGCAAATAGTGGGTAGACCGATTTTATTAGTAGTGGTTTTTACTTTTTCTTGTGTGAGTTTGCTGTTGACGGTTGTATCTAATATTCTAATACAATCTGTTCAAACCAACGCGTTAGTCAAACACATTAATTATTATATCTGCGACGTGTGATTGAAAACAAAAATGACATAAAAAAAGCATTTTTTTTAATAATTTTATTTTTTACAAAGAAAAAAACATTGTTCACCTTATCGAATAACACACCTATAGTAATTAATAACAAAAAAGAAAAAAAAAACAAAAAAGTAAAAAGGTAAAAAAAAAATATATGTATATATAAAATTACAAGAATCACAAATAAATAGTTTATACTAACAAATATTTTATGGGGACACAAAAAACATACAAATTTTATTTACTAGAGTACACAAGTGAACCCGTATATTTTCAAGTTCATACATATATAAGATACAAAACACAATCATTGAACATGTGAATTTAATTACACATTTATAAATACGTATTTGTATGGTAAATTTTTTTTTAACTACGATTCTGTTTGGTGGAAAATGAAAAGTACATATATTTTATTATTTTTTTTATAATCATATAACTGATTATTATTAATTGTATTCAATTGCACACACTCGGGTAAAGCCCAGCTTAGCTAATAACATTAACATAACTCAATAATAATA